TTGTATTAATGCCCCAAGCTTCCATAAGTGGGTCAAAAATGACCCGCATGCATGTTCTATGGAATCCTATGGGAAAACGTTTTTTTTCAAAATGTAAAAAAGTGTCTAAAATTATAAATAGTGAAAAATTAAATATAAAATATTTCTAGTGTGAACCAAAATATAATAAATAAATATTATACAAGTGATTTTTCTTAACCAAAATGACAAATGGCCTAAAAACACATATTATTCTAATGTGGGTCCTTTTCGACCCACTTAAGGAAGAGTGTAGGGTCCAGTCACTCGTGCATCTAAGGGTTGAACCAGACATGATCTAGTACCTTAGTTTCCACTGACACAGTAACCTAATTTTGAAATCAAACCACACCAGGAGTTTTAACTTAGGATCCTCTAAAGCTTTCCCGACTGCTAACTCATATCGTGAACTTCCATTTGAAGTGTTAAAATGGTTTCCAGATGTGGTGGATAGTAGACTGCATAACCGTTGTTCTCTGCTCTCACAGAGTCTCTGGATTGAGAGAACGACCCTGATCCTCTCCCGTCCTCTCCCCGGGATCTCCCGCTGGGCCGAGGTGGAAAGAAGAGAAGTGGTGAGCAGCTTAAACATTCACTCTCCATCACCTCATCCTGCACATGCTGAGGGATGTCACACAGTTTCTCTTAAGCTCTCTATGCTTCCCAGAGAGTCTGTCAAATTAGAAGTTATATACACAACATACTTCCTCCCCTTATCTTGTGTATATTTATTTCCAGATGGAGGTGAGCCCTCTGGAGAATGCCATTTATGTGGTGGAGAATAAAACCCAGGAGCTTCGGACTCTGATAAGCCAGTACCAACACAGACAACATCATGGCAACATCAACCCGCTCAGCATGTGCCTAAATGGGGTCATAGATGCTGCTGTGAACGGAGGCATCGCCAGATATCAGGAGGTACACAAGAAGACAGAAATAATCGGGTTGACGTTTCAAATGTGTGAATTGCTTCAGCGTTGTGAGAGATCCTCATCTTCTCCTCTTCAACAGGCCTTCTTTGATAAGGACTACATCAGCAGTCACCCTGAAGATACAGAGAGGATCACTCATCTAAAGGATCTGATGCAGGAACAGGTACCAACAAATATGTTTTTATTTAGTCTTAGTTCTGTGTCAAATGCCCTTACTAGTTTTGATCAAATATACTGTATATTATATCCAAGCTAATGCTGTTTTTATGTCAAGTTTAATTTGACTAAAACTCACATTTGAGTCTTATCCTAATTAAAGAAAACTGAAACTATTTCAGTCTTAGTCAATAAAAACTCCTGACATTTTAGTCTTTTTAAGTCATCAGATTATATTTATATATATTATATAACACATAGTCTATTCGGCCAAATCAAAGCCCTGTTGCTGGTTTAGTACTGATGTTGTCTACGAAACCACAGGAAACTATATTCGGGAAAAAATGTAAAGTTCTTCTCCACCTTTTAGTCAACAAACTATTATTATTTTTTTTAAATGTTTGTATTTTTTTAAAACTACGTTTTAGTCTTAGCATTATTGGTTTTTATTTGCATGTTGATATCAGTGTTTTATGACATCGTTGCTGTCTTGCCATCATGTTGTCAAAGTACACTGAACAAAAATATAAATGCAACACTTGCTCCCATTTTTCATGAGATGAACTCAAAGATCTAAAACATTTTCTATATACACAAAATAACCATTTCTCTCAAATATTGTTCACAAATCTGAAAAAATCTGTGATAGTGAGCACTTCTCCTTTGCCGAGATAATCCATCCCACCTCACAGGTGTGGCATATCAAGATGCTGATTAGACAGCATGATTATTGCACAGGTGTGCCTTAGGCTGGCCACAAGAAAAGGCCACTCTGAAACGTGCAGTTTTGCTTTATTGGGGGGGTCTGGGGGGGTCCGAAAACCCTAGGGTTAAACCCTAACCCTAACCCTAACATGTCACCCATTGAGCATGTTTGGGATGCTCTGGATTGGCGTATACGACAGCGTGTTCCAGTTCCTGCCAATATCCAGCAACTTCGCACAGCCATTGAAGAGGAGTGGACCAACATTCCACAGGCCACAATCAACAACCTGATCAACTCTATGCGAAGGAGATGGGTGACATGTTAGGTTT